GCACCTCCACCCGACCCTGTTTCAAGAGGCGGTCAGGAGATTCGGGCACCCGGTAGTAGACATGTTCGCTTCCCCCCTCAACTCTCAGCTCCCCAGATTCATTTCCAGGTACCCCTCGCAAGGAGTGGAGAACTTCAACGCGCTCCGATGCCTTTGGCCCCAGAGTCTTCTGTACGCATTCCCACCACTTCCACTGATCCCCATCATCCAGAAGCTGCTTGGACGCGAGGGCGGAGCTGCTGCTAGTAGCTCTTTACTGGCCCAGATGGCCGTGGTTTGCAGACCTCCGCAGTCTATCTTTATCAACACCATGGAGAATTCCGCCGGACAGGGTTTTGCTAACCCAGGGACCCCTTCAACATCCGGACCCTCAATGGTTACACCTGACCATCTGGAGGTTGAGTGGAGACATCTGAAGAGCAAAAAGTTTTCCAACAGAGTTATTGCCACCATCCAAGCTGCCAGACGCCCCTCAACAACCTGCATTTACAATGCCACGTGGTCCAGTTTCTGCAAATGGTGTACTAAGTCTCACATTGATCCCATCTCTCCATCAGTGGCTCAAATCCTAGAGTTTTTACAAGAGGGATTTGACAAGGTATTATCACCTAATACGTTGAAAAGACAGGTCGCAGCCTTGACAACAGTTGTCACTTGTGAGGGTCTACTGTCTCTTTCTCATCACCCACGCATATGGAGTTTCCTTCGGGGAGCCACAAATTTACACCCGCCAGTGGTTCTCCGTTATCCCACTTGGGACCTTAACAAGGTCCTCGTTGCACTCACTAAGTACCCTTTCGAACCCTTGAAATCGTCAGGTCTCCAATTTCTGATGTATAAAGTAGTTTTCCTTGTAGCGATCACTTCCGCTCGTCGTATTTTGGAACTGGCAGCTTTGTCAATCAGACAAGACCTTTGCATCTTTCATTCTGACTGGGTAGTCCTTCATCCTGATCCTATGTTTATACCCAAAATTATTTCGGCTTTTCACAGGGCACAAGAGCTGATACTTCCTAATTTCTGTCCCTGGCCATCCCAATGGATGGAACTACAGTCACATCGGCTTGATGTGAGATGAGCATTGTGAATATATATTCACCGCACAGTGACTTTCAGAAAAACGGAAGCCTTATTTGTGTCATTTCAGCCCAACACTCAGGGATGCAAGGCCTCATCTTCCACAATAGGCCGTTGTCTCTGGGCCACGATAGCGAAAACGTATCAGACTCAATTACTACAGGTACCCAGAGGCATAACAGCTCATTCAACAAGGAGCGCCACAAAATCAGCAGCATGGGCCATGCAGGCACCAATAACTGAAATTTGTCGAGCCGCAACCTGGGCCTCTCCATCGCCCTTCATTAGGCATTATAATGAAGTGTTTGCATCCGCTGAGGCCTCCTTTGGCAGAAGAGTTCTGCAACGGGTCCACAGGGACCAGGAGGGGAGTCCAAGCCAGACGGAGTCCCTCCTGTAGGACAGGCCAAGTTTGGTATGTCCCACTACTGGATGCTCTGAGCAGCTCATGGGAGAAAGGGCGTTGGTACTTACCTGACACGCCCGTTCTCTTTGAGCTGTGAAGAGCATCCAGCCCCACCCCTTTTTCCATCTGGTGGGGTCCTGTTTCAGCCAATGAATTGTTAGGGCATTGAGGGTGAGGGTGTTTATTTCTCTCGTCTTCGCCAAAACTGGGGAACGCTGGGGAGGAGTCCCGTGGAGGAGAAGGATCATTCCACAAATTAAGCCCAGCCTAGACATGCAGAGACTGAAGGACCTCCCACTACTGGATGCTCTTCACAGCTAAAAGAGAACGGGCTTGTCAGGTAAGTACCAACGCCCTTTCTCATCAGTCTTTCTTATAATATATACTGTAGATGCGTACTTAATTTGAATTAAAGAGGAATCTATTTTAATATCTTTTTCCAATAAAGTCATGAATAATATGTCTTGTATTTCTGTATTGGCTCATTTTAACAGGCAAGTATCGTGGACTTTATCTGAAAAAAAAGTAAAACATATTGGGTAATAGTTTGGGAAAAATTGTGGGTAAATAATTAGCCACAATCCTAAACTTGCAAAGATGCCATGTTAACTAATCTCAAAGGAATAGTTACCTATAAGTGAAAGGTATAAAGGTCATCCTGCTATATGTGCTTTGGTTTCATGAAACATTTGTCTTTAATTTATCCAAGGCAGAAAAGCTGGTCACATCCACTTTATTCAGAAGAGGGGTAAAAAAAGGGTAGGGGAAGGATCCAAAAGAAGAATCCCATGCCCAAAGCTCTGGTAGAGTGAAAAAAGAAGGGTTACCTTTTTCTTAAATCCCTTCCATTTGAAAGATTGCCATTTGGAAGGAAACATCCCGCACAATACAAATATTATGCATTGTCCCTCCTTTCCAGGACACGGAAGGACTTTCAGTTACAGCTTCTCTAAGAATATCCTGGTGTTCTTATTTTGGCTGTCTCTGATCCTGGAAAGGCAACCATGGTGCACAGAGGGGCCTTGAAAAACTGGATCTCGTTCAAAAAAGGCAGACTTGTTTTTCCACCCCTTGCCTGAATTTGCAGCCCCACTCTTTACCTTGTAGTGTGTCTCATTGTGGTTAGCAGAATTTAACTCTAGGTAGGTCATTGTCAATATATTTAATCAACCTTTTAGAGCCCCCATTGAATATGCCATAGGTGACTCCATACATAAATCATTGGCTCCCTAATTATATTCCTTATAGTTTAAGTGGAGAATAAGATTGAAAAGTTTCAGATTCTATACAGTACTAGGTTAGTACACTATTTTGCATAACCCAGTAAGTCATAAACCATGACTTACAAGCTATAGGTAATTCTCAAGTTATGACAGTTCATTTAGCGACCGTGCAAAGTTGCGACATAACCACCACTACTCCAAGTACTTATGACACAGTCCAGAGGTTACGAATGTTGCAGCACCATGGCAGTCATTCCTCCTTAAGAAAAACCACAGAGCACTGCAACATTCACCTGCCTATTCCTCCCCACCCACCTGCTGGGCTTCCACAGGGAGGCCTGCGGAGACCCACTTATCTGGCAAACATCTAGTGAGCTGTCTCCTCTCCATCCTCCCTGCTGCGGTTTCCTTGCTTGCTCCTGGTGCTCCAAAAGTGGAGCGGTGAGAGCAGAGGGAGAGTACTACACTTCTGGAGTGGCCGGCAGCCTCAGCGAGCCTCCTCCTAAGGTTTCCAGCCTCCGCACAGAAAAGCATTTGCATGCCTGCGGGAGACTTTGGGGCAGCAAAATCGCGATTTCACCATCTCAAAGCACCCCATTGGCACTCATTTTTACCCAGACTGGAAGCTTTGTTTACATGCTGATGGGATGCCTTGAGGTGGCGAAATCGTGCCGCCTCAAAACGCCCTCGGCATGCAAACACTTTTCGCTCGGAGACGGAAACCTTCCGGGGGCCATGATCTCCCACAACTTCAAGCACCCATCTGCTTTTGCAGAGAATGGGTGCCTGAAGTCCGGCAATATAAAGGCACCCAGAAGCTTCCAGTCTGTGTGTGAAAAGTGTTTGCGTGCCAAGGGGAGACTTGAAGCAAGACAGTTTTGCTGTCCCAAAGCCTCCCATTGGCTTGCAAACGCTTTTCTGCACCATGACTGGAAACCTTTGGAGGAGATTCAGCAAAGCTGCCCACTACTCCAGAATTGGCAGCTGCCTCGGTGAGTCAGAGAAGCCGAGCAGGGCACGCGTGTCCTGCTCTCCCTATGCTTCTCACTGCTCCACTTTTGGAGCGCCAGGAGCAGGCAAAGAAACTGTGGCAGAGAGGCTGGAGAGGAGGCACCTCGCCAGATCTTTGCAAGGTAAGTGAGTCTCCACAGGCCTAACTGCGTGAATCAAGATAAAAATAAGAATATTATCGCTGGCACTATGTTATTCACACAAACAAAGAAATCAGCATGATTCAGCTAATCTATACATGAGCTGGCCAAAAGACTATTTTGCTGCTTGGGGTGTAACACTGTACTGGCTTTCCACCAAAGAAGAAAATATGCATGGGAGCACAGCTTGGAGGTTGATATGAGAATCTATATATGCATGTTAGTTTATTAATCTAGAACTGGGAACATCATTGCATATCCATTGCTATATAGCAGTGGTGGCTTACCCTTTTGGGCTCCTGTGCCAAAAATTGTGTGCGCATCAACGCGCGTGCATTCGCATGCCAGCACCCAGAATGCAATGCGCGCCCCCTCTCCATGTGCATGCGCATGCAATCCCCACCCCCACCCCTTTACCTGCACTGCGCCTAACAGCTGATTTTTTCGGCCTCCCAGAGGCTTGAAAAAAGCCTCTGCAAAGCTTTTCAGGCCGAATTAAAAGCCTCTGCAAAGCTTGCAGGCTTTTTCCAAGCCTCTGGGAGGCCGAAAAAGGCCTCAAACCAACTGGAAAAAAATCAGCTCTGAGGCACGCACATATGCAGGGAGGTAAGTTTGCCTGTGGCTCGCGTGCCAGCACAAATGGCTCTGCATGCCACTTGTGACACGTGTGCCCTAGGTTCACCATCAGGGCTATATAGAAAGCTTCTCAAATACAAGTATAGGACAAATCAAAGCATTGCTGAACTGAAGCCAGGCAGTAGTTTCCCCAAATCTCAGAAAGTTTATGATGGTTCATTAAGGATCAGTCATTGAGACTGTGGATATAGATTACAGTTTATCACACTATTACAAATCCTGTGTAATGTATATTGAAAGTTATATACTTCCTTCAATTTCTACAAAAACTAAATGTAAGGAATAAAAGGAGAAGGAAAAAATAAAGGAAGAGAACTGCTAGGAATAAAGGAAAAGTGAAAAGCAATAGAAAAAGGGAAACTTCCAACTTTCTTCAATACAGTTACAAATGTAAAATACATTAATATTTTGATTTAAAATTTAAAAGTAGTATCCATGTAGAAACAAAGCTAGACAAAACTGGTTTATATAACATATAAATAATTTCCCTTTCTCAATTTATCGAAGGCTATACCCGGGACAAATCATTCCTTGCAATGGTGGTTGATATTGTTCAAGAACTAAAGCAACAAAACTCCAATCTGGTATATGGTAAGTTTATGATACATAAACAATTCATTTCCCAGCCTTAATATTGCCAACAGGTGACTAACAGCCCTGGAGAGCACTAGGTTGAGGAAGGCTCTATTCATTATATATTATTGGAGATTCCTCAATTTCTGAGATTTTTTTTAGAGGTGTTATGTTATAAGAAATTAGTATTAGTCATCTTGACTTACAACTCGTTTTGGAAATAAAGAAAAATTGTACTCCTTGTTCACACACATTTCAGTTACAATTCAAAAAACACATTCACCTAGAATGCCTTCAAAATGTGATTCCTCAGATCAAGTGTGGAATTCAAACATTTTTATTACTGGTTCTGTGGTCATGGCTTGGTGGGTGTACTATGTGGTCATGTGACTGGTTGGGTCAAAAGAGAGAAACTCACTTTAACGGGGTTGGACTAGATGACCTCCGGGATCCCTTCCAGCCCTGGATTGTTGTGCTGTTTCAAAGCATCCTCTGAAGCTGCGTCTAGTGTCAGGGTTTGTAGTCCTTCCTTCCTCTCCTTTTTCCCTCCCTCCCTCTATCTATCCGTCCACCCATCCATTTATCCATCCATCCATCCATCCATCCATCCATATTTCATTCATTTTCCCTTCCCTCTTTCTCCCTTCCCTCCCACTTTGTTTCTCTTCTCCTTCCTTCCTTCCTTCCTTCCTTCCTTCCTTCCTTCCTTCCTTCCTTCCTTCCTTCCTTTCTTTCTTTCTTTCTTTCTTTCTTTCTTTCTTTCTTTCTTTCTTTCTTTCTTTCTTTCTTTCT